TAGGCACCCTCTGATACACTACTATCAGAAGGTGGTTTGCGTCAACGGTAGGGGAGTAGGTTACTAGCGTGAAAATGGATGAATCAACAACCAGAGAGAAATTCCTCACGGCAATATGCGGTAACCGTCCTCCGACAGCCTAAATACGACCCCTCGTTGTGTCTGACAGATGGATGTTGAGCGCCTGGATAGTAGAAATGGCCGTTGAGTCACGTCTTCATTACAAAGAGTTCTTACCTGCGTACTGGGTGCTAGATAAGCATTGGATGTCGTTCCTTTCCACTCCATGTAGCCAAAATGTTGTACACATGCCTTTTCCCTGAAGAAAGAATAAATGAATGAAGGCGTCTAAGCAAGTAGAAAATGGTTCTAATGGAAAAGTTATCAGGCCCTCCAAATCAGCGGCTATTCAAAATTACTCTAATGGCTCGATTAGGCATGAAAGGGTGTTGAACAACAAATTTCAGCTATCATCGTAGGACGTGTCAAGTTCACGGTAGCAAGCGTTCCAGTGTACTTCCTACTTCCTATGCACATTACTGGAACATTTGCTACCGCGAGCTCGTCACGTACTGTACACTCCTCATCATTACGGACTGTCGGGGCGTATCAGCCAGTAGGAGTGCGCACACTGTTTGAAGCCGTTCTCAGCCTTTTCGTTGAAACGCGTATGCGACAAAAAGTGGTAGAAAACGAGTAATACGAAGGATATAATACAGTAATGTCACTTGCCCGCTTCAACAACTGGTGCAGAACGACTTTGGCACCGCGCCAAACGCAGCCGCACTGACACGCCCCACCGGTCCGCAATGATGAGGACTGTAATTCCCCTCCCCGGTCATTTTTGTTTCGGACCTTATTTAGCCTCTCTGTCTCCTCGGATTTTCATCATAGGTGTTAACCCCTTTTCTCATTTCAACAACATCAACACAACTCTAACTTTATTCTCAAATATAAATATTCATCACATATGTTCCATTAAGAAGAAAGAAAAAATCAATAAAAATTATACATATATTGACGTGGAACATCGTCAAGCACATATCACGAACCATTGACGAAAGCAAATTATACAGTCTTCATATATATTATACCTTTGTCAAATGGATACACATCCTCTCTCTTTATCGATCAACCGACTAATCGATCACTAAAGATCGGTGATGTAGAGAATTCTTGTGACCAGTTCGATATCGGATCATCTTCTATGAAAGGGAAACACGACAAGAAAAACGCGACCATTAACAGTAGACAATATTTGGTTCTAGGTTCTTAAAATAAGTGACCTCAAAACAATTAAAACACACAGAAATGAACATACTCGTCTCACTAGAAATACAATTAGAAATGGACAAACTTTGAACAAAAAAAAACACTGCCAAGCCTTGACCTCCTATATGGCTGGCAACCCTTTTTGAGATTGATCAATAATTAACAGACGACAAGAATTAAAAAAATAGGTAGACGAAGGCACCACGGGAATAATATGGTGCTCCGGTACACCGGATGATTAATTTTACGGTCGGAATTCAGAATCACAACGGGTGAACCAGAAAAAAAAGAGGGAGAAATGGAATCAAGAGGAAGGATCATACGGATAATGGACTTTCAAACTACTTAATGGAGAGAGGATAAGAAAGTCAAAGGACAAAAAGGACGCACACAAACTAGAGCTTTGAGATGGTGAGCATTTTTAAATGAAGAATGGAACAGGAGCTGACGTAGCAGAGATAGGCCGTCCAGTACACTACACTACCTACAAGGGATGATGACGTGTCATTTACGTCACATGGAACATTACCTTTCCACACAATTTAAACCTGTGCAAACACGGCCATCGACACAGTCGGCTTAGTGGGCACAAAATTCCACAAGCTACACCAAGGACTCTTGAAATCAAAGTGTGTGGCTTTTTCGCCCGGACAGCGTCATGCTATCGCCTAACCCTTAACAGGCCACGAACCTCTGCCACACCTGCGCCACCTTTTGTTTGATTTTTTTAAACTTTTGTTGTTAAACACCTCAAGTTAAGCAAGCAACGTTTGAAGCAAGAGAGGGGAAATCCCAAAATCCGGCGTAATCAGGGGCGTTCGCAGGTCGAACGAGAGCCGATCAGCCTACTGAGCATAAACTGGGACTGCATTGCACCCTCCAGCACACCCATATCTAGGGACACACAGGGCGTAACTGCGAGAGTCCAAACCGAATAGGCAGAGACCCATGAGTGTCAAAAGTGAGGTCGATATCGAAGGGTAAGATAGGGCGTTCCGACGACGAACGGTAAGAGAGTAACATCCATCGCCAAAGCGCCCCTTTCTGTCCCCCAATATCGACCGTACTTTTGGGCTGGGAATAGGGAACCAGGAGAAGACGAGAACAATTCATTAGCGAACGAGGTAAGTTACTCTGCTGCGACTGCAACGTGCCAATCACTCCCCCCCCCGCGACTCCAACCTGCTACGAAGCAGGCATGAAACTCCCTTGAGCCCGGAAATCGGAACAGACCCACCCATTCTTGACCCAAACCTGTACAGAATCACCTGTTCATGCCGTCACTTCATCTGCCTATATTTTCCCTCTTCCTTCGTGACCTTGCCGGAGATACCCAGAAAGCTAGAGAACGAGAAAACGAAGAACTTAGGACCGAAAGAGTGATACGCGAAAAGACAAAATGATTTTTGGTAGGGCACTGCCAGCACATACAAAATATTACTCCCGCTTATTATATATCACAAAGACCGAGAACTGAGGAGAAGGATTCTTGGATATCATAACTCTGAAAAAGACCTCGTTTGGAACTGATGAAGAGCATTTTGAGAATTTGTCAATGAAGAGGCCGAGAGATAGATTGGATAGTGGTGACTCGGGAAAAGAGTAGTATGATAGGTCTTATGACGGATGGATGAAGATCACAGATGGTTTCGCTGATGTACGACGATTCAACAAACAAAACGTATATGTGAGGTTTTTGGAGGTGACCGGAGGTGAAAAAGAGGATAAATACCAACATAAAACTAGAATTAGTGAAAGAAGAACATAGGAAAAGAAAACGACAGTGAAATGACAGTAACAAAAAGACATGTGCTACCACGTCGTGTTTCGACATTAGATAACTCGGGCTACAAGTACTTACAAACAATGCACTCGGGTTTCCCTCATGAAGGGCAAGAAACAGGATCTCAAAAGCAGAAAACGAATTGGTCATGCAAAGGTCAGCGACCAATTCAGGCAACCAACTGTTTGTGCTGTTTGTTGGGAATGTAGTGGCCGTTATGAACGCCTTTCAAACGCATCAGTTCTTGACACGCTGATCGAAAAGCGCTGTGGATATGCGTCAATGAACGCGACGGCGCCACCGACAAACTGCGTTCGAGCATCTGAAGTTGGTTTTATTTCAGTAAGTTAGTTTCATTGTCCAAAAAAAGAACAATTAAAGGTAAGCAAGAATTAAGAGGTCGGATGTTATCACAAGAATGCTGAGTTGTGGGCAAAAGTCGTACATAAGCCGTTAAGCTGAGAGGGTAAAAGCGGCCCTGGTGGCGTAACGGATAGCGCACTCGCCCGGAAAGCGTGAGGTGCGGGTTCGACTCCCGCCTGGGGCACGACTTTTGCCCACAACTCAGCATTCTTGTGATAACATTCGGAACGCGTACTGCGGCATTTAAACAGCAGTTTACAATAAGTGTTCGAAATGGTGAGGCTTTCAGAAATTTTCAAGAACTGAAAAGAAACCACAAACGAATAGGAAAACTGGAACCGTAGACAACTGCGACGATATTTGAACACCACGTGGGAATGAACGGTCGAATTGAATGACAGCCGGATCGAGAGGGTAAGAAGCAGGAACAAGTACGCGTAATGGAGGGCATAACAACTGAAAAAAAAATCATAAATTGAAAGAATCATGAATTCAAAGGAAGAAGACAAAAAGGACTTTGAGTTGGTAACCAATGAAACCCAAGTTCAGGGTTATAAGATTCTATTTCTATACATCACAGGGTTTGTTGTGATGGAGAGAGCACATCATGCGTTATGATCTCCAACAATGGTCGTACAATGGGCCATACCCCTACCCCCATCCTAGAACCGGAAGTGTCTAACTCCCCCTCCCTTCCCCGATGGAGGGGATGAGACTGCATTTGAGCTGAAAAAAAACCTTCCGATTGATAATTTTTACCTATAAGCGCTTTATAGCCCTACCCCCCCCCCTTCCCCTAGTGGACGACCGGCACTAAAACTAGCTATTTCTGCTAGTTCCACCCTGAGATGTCTACACCCTCTCCCCTACTAGACGGCAAATTTCAGATAAGTTTGGTGAGGTGATTAAGGAAGGGAGTCGTACTGTGTACTGGAGTAAAGAAATGGGGGAGGGAGGGTCGTATGCAGCGCAACTTCTCCCGAATGCCAAGACTTGTCCTGATGATGGGTCGTTTGTTATCCGACGTCATTGTCGCGGATTCTGGCCCCCTTGTTGGAACAATTTGCAAGAAACGTTCGGGCAGTAAACGGCCCATCATAATAAAGATTGCAAAGTGTAAAAAGTACACTAAAAACCACTTGAAAGCTCAAATAGTCACATCATCTTAATCCGCATTCAACAGTAATCAATAAACTGGTAAGCCTGATTTTGGGTGTTAACGTAGGGCTGCACTGCGGCGCGACCATGTCTGCTCTGGGGAAAATGAGCTTTGTGCACTCTAGTCGCCTGCGCTCCGCCCAGACTGAATTAAGGAAAGACCTGCCAAGTAGAGCCCCTAACCATAGCAACTGGGTTGGTGCGGAAAAGAGAAACATGTTGCAAAGTTTTCTCGTAAAATAGAAAAGCTAAAGAAGAAACGTATGCTAAATAGAGATGGTAGAGACAGATGACTGCACAATTTAAACCCACCAAATCCGAATCGAAACAGATCACAGCATCGGGACTATGACTGGAGGCCGGTAAGCAATCCGTATCCACTCGCCACGGTAATTCATTCAACTCGCGTGAAGCCGCTACCGACATTCGCCATGGTTGACGGGTATCGAACAGGCAATCAATCTGCAAATTATAAAAATTAGAAATAATATGGTTAGCCATCCTCCTGCTACATTTTCTAGAGCAGAAAGACTGAAATGCCAAATGAATTTCAATTCCTCCCAACTGAGTTTGAAAACTAACCTTTATTCGCATATTTTCGTCCTCGGATGGGTCAGTACTCTGTTCAACATGAGCTGAGTCATCTGCAATGTTTATAGCGTCACGGAAAGATATTTTTAGAATAATGAGCATTACTTTCTTACCCAGTTTCTCCATTTTTACTTCAATTCCTGTATCGTTGAGATCTGAAGGAGCAGGACGTTTTAGCGATGAACCTGCTATTGATGACTTCACCGCACCAACATCTGTTGCCGAATCATCGTCAGAATTGCTTAGATTCGCTAGATGTTCAGGCACCCTGAAGGAACTGCAGCGTGAGCGGCAGTGATAATATCAATAAAGGAGCTTGGAATACAAAGAAAAAAAAGAACAGAAAAAAGAAAAAATCTTCATCACTGCATGAAAACTCACTTGATCATCAAATGTCGCACCGATCGCCATGGATCCAGAAGTGCTTGTGGAGGGTTTGGTTGAGACGAAGAGCGATGGCCCTCATCAACACCATGGGTGAAAATCGACGTCTGCCCTTCGGCTTCAATTTGCCGCAATGTCTCAATCACTGGATACGTGAGGCTCGAACGTTCAACGATCGTACGCACATTTCCCACGATTTTTTCCAACAGTGACTGAGAAACCCTTCTGGAAATATGGCTAGAATTTAGTTACATAAAAGGAAGGAATATGAACAAAATCTTCCCGATGAAACTAGTAACTCGAAAGAAAACACTTTCCTCCTTTCCTCCTCTAGGTACAGAAAAAAAGACTCAATAAGCCCTACTAATCAACAAAGAAGGTTCTCTTGCCTTTTCCGATCAAGAATTTCCATTAGTCGATCGAATCCTGTCGGTTTCGGGCTATTATCCAAATCGCATCGATCACCAATGCGCTTGAGTTTCTCGTAATATTGCTCCTTCAAGCTTTCCACCTAAAGTAATAGAAAATTACTCTACGGTACTGATCATAAAATAAAAGAAATAAGTACAAAATCCTAGAAAACTAATTACTGGATAATATAATATTGGTAATAGCCCCAGTTCGCTCTTTGAAACGTTGGCATGTAACTAAGATTGCGTTGTTTCCGTGTCGTACAAGGTTAGTTATGATGGAACTGCTTTCCATGTCCGACGTTAAGCCCTACGAACCGTTTTAGGTCCTTGACAACGATGATTTGGTCGAAACGTCGGACATAATAAACGGTTCCATCACAACAGACCTTGTACGGCATAGAAACAACTCAATCATAATAGTAGTGGCCACTGCGAAAAAACCTCACCAGATCGTTATACTCCTTTGTGTTTTCGTCCTGACTTGGAACAGAGCCCGGCTGCTGACTACCGGGACCGACACTACCAGGTTGAACCGACGAGGGATTCTCTGAAACATACTTTCTTACTGATTACAGCAAGGAATTTTTGAATTCGGTGATTATATAAGGTTAACGCGTCCAAAAACTTGGTGGCCCTTCTAGATGCTAATATCTGTCATTGATAACAACTCTAGTTTAGTTGCCTTGAGACCAGAATATTGTTTTTTTTCACCTGCTTTCCTTTTTGTTTTATTTGAACCCAATGTTTAACAATGCCCTATAGCACGAATTGCAAAAAATTTTACAATAAATATCCAACGAAAAGACAGAGCTAATGAACTTACGGGGAGTGGACGGTTGAATAGACGTTACCGGCGAATTTGACATTCCGCCAGCAGGGCCAACACCCGACATATGAGGAGAACCAACAGCCATTTGATGGCCAGCAAAAGAAGAATGTACCTTAACACAGGGAATTTACTAGATCTGGACAGAAGACCATGCACTAAGGGTTCTGTAAGAGCCGAAAATCCTACAGCTTCGTTAAGGATCATCCTCTGGGCTATCTATCCAAGGGAGACCTAGTTTCTTCAAACCTTGAAACCTAGTTTGAAAATTATCCAAACCTTACCTGTGGGCTAGCTCCAGCACCTATATGACCAGATGACTGCGAGTTCATCGACGACGCAGACATCATTTGTTGTGGACCTCCACCTTGACCACCTGCCATGTGACCAGCCATCCTCCTGAACACAAAGGAAAAATTCAAAATGGAGACACGTCAAGATCCAACGTACATTTGCTGTGCAGGCATAGGGGCTGATGCCGGACCAGACATCCCACTGTTTGACATTGGTCCAGTCGATGGTGCCATCACAGATGCTGACTGCTGCTGCTGGGCATAAACTCCAGGTCCCGCTGGAGCTCGTTGTCCACTTGGACCTACCATTACACCACCTTGTCCTGAAATAAGAAAAAATGTTACAACGTAAACTTGAAGGAGCATGACTGCTCGAGCTCTATCACATCAGCTATAGTCCTACAATCTGTCACTCCTTCCCAATTTCCCAATGGTCTCAGAAGAACTACCTCTTAAATTTGTGAGTAAGCCTGGAAAGGAAGGTGGGCCACTTACTGTCAACAATAATCAGACCGCGTACGACTCCTAGAAAACATAGTGCAAAAACCCTCACCAATATTCTTGATATTTAGCTATATGTACACCATTCTGTAGGGCACACTAGGGTAGGGTTCCACTGCTCCACGTGAAACCTAAAAGAAGGCTGCAACGACGTAAAGCACCCCCCCCCCCGGGTAACGCTGGTATTCTTCAAAGGACCGCTATCTGCTCTGCGCTATGACCACCATCCGAGGCAGGACGAAGTTGAAGACTAAGTGCACGCTCACTCTTGAGGATCCCGATCCTCGCATGCGCGAGCCGAACGGGTCAGCAGGTGCAGAGAGGTGCCACCTTTCCCATTCGAGAAAGAGCCGTAAGAGGCTAGAGCACAGTGATATTTAGGTGCCGTTGTGGTCCCCAACCACACGCAAAACAGCAGACGCAACGTGTCGCACGAGCGGACACCCGCACAATTATAGCCGAATGCGCTACTTTTCTGTGAACTCTCAGGTTGGTTCTCCACGCTGTGCTCCATAGACAGCCTGCTGTTCAAGTTTTTCGCTGCGGATCCCCAGCATCGATGTGATTTTGTGGATGGCGTGTGGAACTAAAGCTATCACAACCCTCCAACTTCCTTTCCGGGCGCTTTCGAAAGTGGAACACCTCTACGGCTCCAGGCCTGTTCACCTCGCATCTGGCAAGGATCCATCCTGCGGGTGAACGTAAAGCCTATCTTCAAGCGTCACAAAGAACAATCACGAAGGTTCTAGTGCCACCTAGAGGAAGCCTTCAGAAGCTTCAGAACCCGATGCACCTTCGTCAGCCTCCAGCACTCTAGCAGAAGTAAAGAAAGACTGCCGATGAGCCTTTAGTACCTAAGAGAAAATGAAATGACACCAACCCATCATCTGTTGATGTATGATAGCACCCTGTCCATTCGACACCATCTTTGACTGTTGTTGTTGTTGCATTGTGTTGAACTAAAGCACATTTTTCACATCTCGGTATAAAAAATAAAAAAACATGAGAAATGCCCGGAAGAGCCGAACTGAAAACTAGTGAGTGCACTTGCCCTTCGCACGTATGTCGAGAACAGTTGTTTTTTACGCTCTTGACTTTGTTCAACGTGAATTTCCTGCTGCCAATGAGGTGGGAAACGTGACATACTGAAATAAAACAATGCGCGTATGTTCCCCCGCAGTAACTGGTGCTAAAAAGTGCGAGTTGGAACAAAACCCACTAGTACTGATATTGCTGCTGTTGCTGTTGTTGTTGCTGCTGCAACATCTGGGCTTGTTGCATCTGTGAGGGATGACCGTACATCGGCTGTCCAGGAACTTGAATAATATCATTAATGGGACAAAAAAATGTTCTAGAGAAAACAGTCTAAAACATCGATGCTTAGCATCGCATCTTCCTCAGACGATTATTCGGATCAAAGGTGAGATAGGACAGGAAGGAAGGAAAGGAAGGAAATAGATTAGGAAGGACGACACGGAGTCTTTATGAACAGGGCACATCCTGTCGTTGAAGAAAAATTTCGCAAATGCGACTCTCACAATTTCCTACTGGGTAAGACACCCCCCCCCCCCTCTTCCACATCACTATCATCGCGAGTAAATTTTCAGTTTAACACCACTGTTCAAGAGCTTTTTCCCAGGGAACTGAACAAAACTCAAAAACTGCTTTTCGGCAGAGACGAGGAGAAACTGGAGCGGGTACCTATACAGGCACATGGAACGGGTAACTCGAGTAAATGCCCCTACACCGAAAACATGGTTTATCAAGAGAAACTGAGCCTCTCCCTCCAGCGATAAAATATGACCCCCTCACTGAGGATCCCTACGTATGACGTGCCCTGCTAATTATACCATTAACCATCATTGTCGGATCCGCGAGCGAAGCGGCCCTTCACAATTAGTGTCACAATGCGTGGCAGGTGATTCGCAACAGGACATCGACTGCAGTCGGTACTTGCAGAAAAGCTAACCAATAATCCAGGAAATACTGTTACCTGTCGCGCCAAACGCAGGTTCTTTGATGTTACTGACTCAGAAGTTACTTCAAGCGCTGTTTATCAAGAGAAATCGAGACTCTCCCTCAGGAAATACTGTTACTTCGCGCGCTACCCACGCCACTGTCTAAATAGCAGATTGAAGTAATTAAGAAAGGCTTGACTCGCTGAGAACGCATTCATACTTCGCTTACATGCCGTCGTGATCATACTTCGCTTAAATGTCGCAAGCGAATAGCGAACTATGAACTTGCTTTGAACAAAACAACGTTTTTCTGCATTCGAAGCGCTCTTCCCCTGCGTCCTCTCGACTCACAAAACCCACTCAGACTAGCAGAGTGCTCTTCAAATAGCGTCTACGGGCCTCACAAGTGTCAGAGTAGAAAAAGAAATAATGCAATAGCTAGGGTATTATAGTAATACCTCTGAACAACAACACAATGTAAAAATAAATGCACAACGATAGATCACCTTGAGAATTCATCATCCCAGGAGGCGGTGCGTACATCTGGCGCATTCCAGGCGCCGCTTGTCCAGGTTGGCCCATCACCTTAATACAAGCGAATTATCATCACGTCTCTATCCAAGGAATGATTGACTCAATTTCAAATCTTCCTTCACCTAAGGAACGAGAAAGTGATATTTGCTGAAATTTCGAGAAAAAAAAATCGATTCACTGCCAGCCACTGCCTGTGGTTCGGAACCGACCTTGAGCATAGGATCAATTTAGAATTGTTAAAAGCAGAAGGCGGAGACAATTCAGAGATATCAGAACATATAGAAGCACCCCGTACTGCTCACCCTTTGCTGTCCCTTTTTCAAAATTCAGGCCAGATTTTCAAGGAAATGACTCCTAAAGGGGGACATTGACCGGAATTACGCCTTTCTGGCAAGCGTAGCTTCGTTACCACCAGTACCACATCACCTTGGCGAAGTGACACCGCTGCCAAATTACATACTCCGGCGCCAAACCTGTCCCTTAGCGGCAGCGTCCACACGGAGGCAAATGCCTAGCGTGTTCGCGCCAAATGAGCGTAATGTTTACGTTCAAAAGGTAGAACCATCTTTGAGACAAAATCTGTCAAATCCACCCATAGGAGGGATTTCGAATGGTCGAAAAATGCGAAGTATGTCGAAAAATGGGGTAGCAATGGTGATTCGTGCATCCACACACAAGCAAACAGTTTGGTAGTATTCAATGACGGATGGAAATCACGCTATGGAATTTCAAGGGCAAGAAATCACCCAATTTTCTGGAGTACAAAGCGCACCCATGTATAGGGCGCACCTTCGCTTTGACCGACGCGACTGCTCACAAAAGAATAAGCAGCTGCGGTATTCAGCAACAATTGGGCGTTAATGCAAATAAATGCGCCTCATACTTCAGAAACTGGGGCACATAGAGCTGAAAGAAAACGCTATAAAGGCACTATTGGGCTTGCTGAAAGCAAAAAGGAGCGGAGAAAAACGCTGCAAATCCTGAACGCGGTGATCTCAGTGGACCTTGTCTGAAGCGCTTGTATGGGGCCAGCCGCTGCGCGCCCCGGCGTGATGAACGGAGCGATTTCGTTGTGAGAGACGGCCCGCTTCGCCAGGCGGGAGCCACCGCGCTTACTTTCTTCCACACATTGGAATACCCACCTAGTATCCGGCTTTTCTTTTATCTGAACAGATGGTCAACATTCTTTATTTTATAGAGATGTAGGTATGGACGTAGATTTCAACTGGACACCGGTGAGAGAAAGTGGGATATTGGTCGAAGCATCTGATCATTCGCAAGGAATGGCCGCCAATCACAGTACAGAAGTTTGATGTCTGGAGTGTTCTGGAAAACTGTTTTAGCGTTTCTTTTATAATGTGCTCGCCTCCCCGCACGCATGCTCGGTCCCCACAGCGAGTGTGTCACCCCGCCCATCTTCAACAGTGTGGCGCTTTTGAGCGACCATACTCCACTTTTTGCGCCGTCTGTAGTGCTCTAAACACATACTAAGTTTTTTTTAAAATGGTACCTCGTAGTTGGAGGCACTGCCGCCGCCTATTGTTGGGACCGGTCTGCTAGCACGCCCAAAGCATGCCGCTATTTGTTGATTGTGGCAAAAAGTTGTAGTGTGATGGTGTGTGCATGGACTTAGTGTCGTGGGCGAGATCTACTAAGGCTTTTGTTCTATTACCCGAGTAAGAAAGGAAATTCTGCACGACGACACGACGTTGTGGAAGCACGATCATTCAAGATAAGCGTGAGCCCATTTCGGATGTTCCTCCGTTTGAGTCTTGCCAAGTTGAGGCAAGTCGCTTTGTTCGAGCCGAAACTTAATAATCTTTTCTTTTTATATTTACCGACAGGAATGCTTGCCCTGTCATAATGAATCCGTGTAGTCCCTTGCCTGAATCTACTTTCTCCAGTTGTTCTGCTTCCTTTCCTGTTCCTATTGCTCTACACTTTGCAGAACTTGTGGCTTGTCTCGCAGAATTAATGGTTGCCAACGCAGGAGATAAAAGCGGAATGCATACTATGCGCTATCGGATGTAATTTTATTGACTGCTTTTCTTCCTCCCATATATCTTGCATTCTTGTTCCTCCTTTGCTCTGTCAGCACTTTGTCTAAACTTAACTTGCACTGTTTCTCATCTCAGAATACTCTGTCCCAGAACTTGGATTAATTCACTTGTATCATTTCAAAAGATTGCACAAGTTAACTGGTAAATTAATCTTTTAATTCAGTGCCATCGGACTGTTCGATCATCACTCCTCATCTCCACGGATGCAAGCGAAGCCAGAGGGTTGAGCCGCCACGCAAGCCAACAACAAGGCAACTAGCGAGGGCGAGTATCAGTCACTAAGTGGTGGTTTGTTCCACTTTTATCTTCGCAATTTTAGCAACAGTTACTGCGGGGCAACATCGAGTCATGGGTGCACTATTAGGTTTTGGGAGAACTCCAGCTGCCTGATTTTGTCTATTTCAGCCTCCTATATTCTCGACGCTCCTCTCTCCATACATCGTTTTCCTTCTTTGAGCAGGCATAGGACTTCACACGTGGATTTTAACGATAAGAGTAAAAGGAGCACGACGGACGCGGTGAAACATGGAGACTCACGGGTTCTCGAGCATACGCTGCGAAGGAGGCAGTGGACTCACCACACGACATTCAGTGACCTTGTCTGAAGCGTTGTTATGGACCAGCCGGCTGGCGCCGTGTGACGGAGCGATTTTCTTTTGAGAGGACGGCCGTTCGCAGGCGGGGGCACGAGTTGTTTCTTGCAAAGCTGGGAATACACAGCTATCGGTTGTTCTTTTATCTGAACAGATGGTCAACATTCTTTTATTTGTATAGAATGGTGGTATGGAGCGTTGTTCAATTGGACAGATGAGAGAAAAGTCGGATATTAGTCGAGCATCTGATCATCTCGCAAGCTGGCGCATACACGAAGAGTTTGAATGTCTGGCGGTGTGCTGGCAACTGTTGAGCGTTTACTTTTAATTTGTAGCTCGCTGTTCCCGCCGCATGGGCTCGGCTCACACGCGGTGGTACCCGCGCCCATCGTAACTATGGGCCTGGGGACGATTAACCTTACACTTTTGCGCCTGTCTGTATGTGTGCATAAACATACTAAGATATTTTTTTAAAACTTGGGTACCTCGGTGTTTGGAGATGCCCGCCGATTGTGCGTTCTCAGCACGCCAACATGAACTTTGTGCCAAATGTTATCTTCGTGCATGGAAGTATTTCTTGCGATCGTTCTAAGCTTTCGAGAACTGAACCGACCTACCTTTGTGAGAGCTACTCGAATTCAGTAGGGCGCACCGCGCCGATTTTTCGGATGTCTCCATTCCATTTGCTTTTGCGAACGCATCAATGAACCTTATTCGACTTTTTTCCGGGTGCTCTAGGTTGCTTGTTGTACAGTACGTTTTGGCTTTTTCAGGTGGCCACGGAAAGCGCCACCATCTCAAATGGCCCTCTAATTCACAGGATCTGCTCGCTTTGCTTTGTAGCTTTGTTAACTTGACTGCAGCGTGGTGTTCATTTCAGAACTACTTGTGCAGAGTACTTGGGTTGGACTTATGGAATTCTGTTTTTGCAGTGCCATCGCTACTTCCGGCGCGCGCCCACGGCGAGGGGGGGGCGCCATGAGTCAATGAGTGCTACTTAGATTGTTTGCTCGATTCTCCATCGCGACCCTACAGTTCGCTTGTAAGTGCTATGGATTTCGGGACAAGCCAGGGACGGACGGACTGAGGGGAGATCAGGACAATCAGACAGTACACGACCCAACAGGAATAGCCATTACATACTGTAGTATTCTTGAGGTAACAAAATTTCAAGAAGAGACAAAGGAGAAACTATAAAGAGATGACTCTATGCGTGCTGTTGATCATTTGGCTGCTGTTGAGCTTTGCAATGCGGCCATTGCACCGGATGGGTGCTGCTGGACGTATTGACCGTATAATAGGATGTCTGATTGTTTCAATTATTTACATTTTTTAATCAGAAAATACCGGCTGATAGAAAATGAAGAAGTAATGTTGATATGCGATGTACTTTTATGATGGTTCAGCTTTCCACCCGCGTAGTCACACAAGAGAATCTGGGGGTGTACACGCGCTGGAAGATGTGGATGAATGCCGAATCAACGCCAACGAGTATAGCAGTACGGTTTTTTTTGGCAAAACCCCCTTTATTCTGAAATAACAAGATTATTCATGAAGCGGCGTAAAAGTAAAAGCACACACTGCCAATTTGACTGGGAATATGACAGATACGAAAGGTGAGAACCTTCGAAATAAATTCGCAAAACGCCAAAGAACAATCTGAAATTTTATCAATGTCAACAACGTAACAACAACAACATAACAATACAACTTCTCTGGTTAAAACTCAAAACTCAGATAAAACGTAGTGAACACAACAACAGTATTTTGGTACTACGAAAGCTAACAAGTAAATAACAGTACCAACTATGTACTGAAGTGAGTTACACCTGAGAAAGCACAAACGGCGAGATAAAGGATCCGCCGAGTTCAGTCCAATCACAGCATATACTTAGAACCACCTTCAGACACCTGCTCCGACTTCACCTTCTTCTTCTTCTTTGTCGTTTTTCCTTGATCTCCTGAATAAGAACCCTCTGAATGGCATGCCCAGCATTTGAAGTGGTGGTTTGTGCTACTCGAATACTATTGATAAGATAGTAGTCAACACAGCACAGAAGAAAAAAAAAAAAAAAAACCATTGAAAATGCCACACATAAAACCATTGGATAAACGCGGGGAACCCCTAACTGATAATGTGCCCTGATCCCTCAATTCCTTGTGATGAATATTATAGAAGTAAAAAATAAATATTCACTGAATGCAATAGTATCCCACTGAAAACTACAAAGAATGGAGCCTAGCGTGTATTTCGCATGCTCACTGACTAAGAAAAAGCTCAGAACTACTTATGCCACAGGAGAGAAAAAAAACAATTTTGAAAATTAGATGAGGGAAGAGAATATAGAATTATATGCAACTCACGTTCCGAACTGTTTCCTGGAGTTTCGTGAAGAAGGTCGAACTTTTCAACTTTTCACCACTTGCCACCTCCTTCTCATCAGTCGATTTCTTCTTTTTCTTCTTCTTTTGATTCTCGAGAGCTTTGTCTTCACCGAACAATTCGACCAATGCCCTGTCAATGAGTGTAAAATATGAGGCGATTACAAAGGAACAACGTAGCTAGTATGCCTTCCAAACGGAACCGGTCTCCTGACCGCGCCGTTGTGATGAACACTTTCAATCAAAGGCGCACACATACACCAACCTCTGACGATTTTTCTTTTTTCGGCGTTGTCGTAATTTGTCCGTTCGATCACGTTCTTCATCGGCTTTAAGATCTCCCTTCTGACGCTTTTTCAACTCTTCCGGTGCTAGCAGCTGAGCATCCGTTGACGCACTCATTCCAACTTCTTCAACTCTCAGCGCCGGCATATTCGAAACAACGCGAACTTCGGGTCTGACCTAGAAATGTGCGCCGTAAAAAAAGCCATTGTGTCAAACAATACACAAATAAACGATTCAAAGGCTTGTCTCAAACTTCTCCCTAGTTTTGAAACCGGCATCGTTGTTTATTTTTTATTGTTGCTGTGCCTCTCGAAGTTCTTAGATGGGAGAATTCTTTATCAGCCCAATGTTTCATCATGGTCATCTTCTTCGGACGTCAGGGTTTCATAGCAAATCCGCTGTCGCATGCTCATTGCTAGTAGTTTGCCACTACCACCCAAACATAACAGCAGATTTACTGTGTAACCGTGGCGTAATGGTCTCTGTTGTTAACTTTTATCGGATTTTCCTTCTTCACGTGGGCTATACCCTACCCCCTGTCACTCCATAGTAGTTTTCTTTGAGGACGTCGGGGAGCTATAGGAATTTCTGATAAACAAACTGGAAAAATACGGGTGGAAGTTCTAGAAATTCAGGAAGATGTTAGCATGGGGAATAGGGAAGGGGAGGGGGGTCATAGAAGAATACTAAAATTTGAGAGGGTCATAATTTGCGAAAAATTCTCCAACGGCAGTAGGTGCTTTGCTGATGTCTGAAGAAGAAGAAGATTACTTCGAAACGTTAGGAAATAACGAAATTCGCTATCGCGGATTCAACTGGACGGAAACCCACAACACTCGCCAATAGGCAGTCCACGTCAAATTTTCAATATCTGGCAATTAAGGTGTGAAAACCTTGGCGATATCTGATGCGAATTAGATAAGGGATATTGTCTGGAAAGTACAAGATGTATTTACACA